ATATATAGACACACCCACATATAGACACAAACACATATATACGCACAAACCCACACACACACATATATACAGACATACACACACACAAACACACACACACGCACACACACACACGCACACACACATAAATACACACACACACATATATATATATATATATACATATATACAGCACACGCACACGCATATATATATATATATATATATATTTATATATATACATATATAATCAAATTCCTAAAAACATTCATCAGAAAAAGCATTTACTTCAACTATCCTCTCCCATGCACACACACTCGTATGTCCATGCATGTATATATCACACCTGTACATCGCCTCTGGGATACGCATAGCCGTGGCTCCCCCAGGGCCCCGTGCCACTCGATCTTCAGTGAGCAGACGGAATAGACTGGGGAACTGTTTGGCGTAGGTGAGATGACTCATCCAATTGCTACACGTCGTCTCGTCATCACACACGAGTGCAATGCTGCCTTTGTTGACGATCTGGATTTATCGCATAAATAGGATCATTGGTACAAGACAGACATCTGGTGTGAGTATGAATGTGATGCTAAATGGGATCAATGGGAAAGGACAGACGTCTGGTGTGTGAGTATGAATGTGAGGTTAAATAGGATCATTGGGAAAAGACAGACGTCTGGTGTGTGAGTATGAATGTGAGATTAAATGGAATCATTGGGAAACGACAGACGTCTGGTGTGTGAGTTTGAATGTGAGGTTAAATGGGATCATTGGGAAAGGACAGACGTCTGGTGTGTGAGTATGAATAGGGTATGTGTGCGTGATAGTATGTGGCGATAAGAGCTTTTTGCACGTGTATGTACGGGGGTGAGGGTTTTAGGGGCAAGCGGTGCCTTCTACACATTGCTGAAGTGCGTACCAACAATACAGTGGTGACTGTGAGATGATGTTCCATTGCACTGGTGGGTTGACAGACAGCTCCTTTCCAATTGGAGCTTTGGTTATATTCTGTGGTTGGGTGTTAGCTTTTATTCGCACTTTACAATTGGTTCAGGAGACCAGTCACAGCCACTCACGAAGGCGAAAGACACAGATGCACTGTAAAAACGTTACATCCATTCGTGAAAACAAAGTATTAATAAACACAATACATGTTTTAAATTCAGCATTAAAAAAACACACGACAGACGTTGAACACAGTGTTATTGAACACACGACATGTATGAAATTCAGTGATAACAAACACACTACTGGCATTGTTAAATACAGTACTATCAAATAAATATGAAACACACCTATAAAGGAATATAGTAATTACTATGCAGACTAAGAATCAACCACAACTACTATTATACATAACTATCATCAAGACCCAATATTAATACACACAACAACTAAGTGTTCAGGTACACGATTCACATCACATCCTCATTTGGTTCAAATACGATGTCTCGTAGTTGGCACGGGTGAGCGAACCAGCCCCAACGCTGGGAGAGCGGACACAATAGCATGTTGTGTGTATATTGATCGTGATAACCTGTATGTCAGCGGAGTCTGCCTATTTAACTGCGTATGAATAGGCTGTGGGTAGCCATACCATACCATACCATGCCATACCACACCATACCATACCATACCATACCATACCATATTAAAGCACACCATACTATATCATACCATACTATTCCATACCATACCATACCAAACCATACCATACCATACCATACCATATTAAACCACACCATACTATATCATACCATACTATACCATACCACACCATACTATATCATACCATACTATACTATACTATACCATACCATACCATACCATATCATACCGTACTATACCATACCATACCATGTATATCACAAAGCGCTCGGATACAACTCGCTCGTCTCCGCGGTAGATCATGACACTGTCGTTGCTGATCAGATGCAACACACTGGCCTTGGCCTCGCTCTCATCGATGCCCTACACAGTCGAACACAATCCATTTGCGAGTCAGAACAGTATTGCGTTCATGCGTTCAAGTGCTGGTTACGTACTGCAGCGGAGAGGCTGTGATAGCCTGTGAACGGTCTCGCAGTGTGCAGCTGTGGTGAGGTTGTCAGTGGGTGTGTATCTGCGCACACGTCGTATAGCCCTTTTGCGTTCTATCTGTGACACTCGATCATAGCAACGACAGCTGATACCGCTATCTATGAAACGTGTTAGGATTTGATATGGGGGTTGTGCGTATATAAAATAAGTATTAGTAGCTACACATAGCCTGAAGGTGCAAAGGGGACTGTCCAATCACTTTATAAATAGGACCGTTTGGGTGAGGACCACTGGGGCGCAAAGTTAGGTGTCTCACCCGCAACAAACACCACCGAGAAAAAGTTGTTCAATAGATACCGAACAGCTTACGCCTGACTCAGCATACGCTGACCGATACGTCGTAGCAACACACTGGCAGAGACACAAACCGTCACCGCATAACAAACTGCTGGACTCCATGCAGCTCAGTATAAGTATAAACAAACAGGCAAGCTAACAGTCCCTATCACACACACCCCAACCCACCAGCAAACAAACACACCCAAACCCTATACCCACACACCAAGCACATACATGCCTGCGCACTCCTTCCCTTCGGCCTACCTACCTTGACCACCACCACACCCGTGTCCAGTGAGTACACCATACAGGCGCGTGGTTTCCCGCGTTTGAGCTTGCCCTCACTGGCACCGTTCACGGAACAGACGTTTACAGCGTCACCCCACAGCAGCTGCTTGGATTCAGCCACCACCTCGGCTGTGGTTACGTCGAGTACCCCCCCTAGTCTCTGTTTGATGATTTGTCTGTGTGGGGATAGGTAGGGTGCGGTGAGTGGGCCGAGAGCATAGACCAGTAGAATGCACACATTAGGTATGTATAAACAATGGATATGTAATTTCAAAGCAATGGCTTGAGTGGATGTGTGAGGGATGGATCTACACTTGAAACGTATATAAACAATGGATATATAATTTCAAAGCAATGACATGCGAGCATGGGTGATCGATGGTAGGATTGAGCAGGCATCCTAGCCCTTGATTGACTATTTGGATGTGAGTGTGGATATGAAACGTGTTTTGTGATCTGGGCCGCTCGAGAATTCTCAGAATTTTAACACATACAGCGCTGCTTGTATCATTGGTTGTTGAAAGCCACACACATGCACGCTCATCGGTTTAACTGGCAGAGAGGCTTTCGCACTGAGACATGGCGCACCAATGCACAGACAGACTTCGTGTTGGTAATAAACGTTCTGTTTACGATACACTATAACACTTATCGTGTTTGCAACAAACGGTCTATTTACGTCCCACTACAACACTTAGCCTCTATCGTTGTATGGCATCGTGAAGTCGACTGAACAGTAAACTCCAACGTCTCACCAATTGTCAAGTCGTCTGCATATAGCGACACTTATAAGCACACAAACATGAGGTACTTTTCAAACAGAAGCCGAAAAAGACCTGCCAGAACCTCTCACCTAGCCACAAACACACCCCATCATGTCACACATTGGGTATTCACACATTACAACCAATCAATGGCACACCATTTTCTAGTGTTCTTACACAGTGTACGTATATCTCACATACGTTTATATGCTTATACCTCCCATACAATTCTGTACATATACATCACACACCTTAATATTTATACATACATCACCCACGTTTATAAACCACACCATTACGTAAACACACAAGACACACCTCTGCAAGGCCTTTTGCTTCTGCGGCATGTTCAGACCCAACGGCGGCACAATGGTTGAGAACGGCTCGAAATGAGTTGTGCGCAGTTGTAGGGCATACTCAGACGCCTGCGCCACTTGGGGACTGATCAGAGTCAGTGCTGTGCGAAGACTCGCCGCGTCCTGCACATCACCGGCTGTTTTCTTAGCCTTGCTCTGTTGGGCTTTAAGAAGTAGCTGCATTGGGGGGTTGGGGGTTGGGGGTAGATAGGGAGAGTGTACACGGGGGAGAGGAGAGGAGAGGGGAGGAAGGGGGTGGGGGGTGGTTAGTGAGTGTAGTAGTAATACATGTGGCTTTGGGTGAATGGATGAAGCGCTGTTGTAAACATGGAGAGTGTGGGGTCTATCGGAGTTGCTGTGCACTATATCTACCATCGAGGCAATCGAATACTGGATCAAAAGAGATGATACCAAGGTTCACAACCACAAAGCAATACACTACGGGGCTCTATGGCATGAGCACTCACCAGCACGAGCCTGTCAATGTATACATGTGCATTCGACTATGTTTCACAAATAGGACCAAACCAAGGACAGCAATGTGGAGGACAACTAGGCACGTGTACAGCATATAAAGGCCGTTTGGTCTTGCTGATAGCTCAGGATGGGGTTGATTGGGGCTCATAGAGGTCCAGTTGTGTTTATAGATGCACAATGACACTCACACACACATACATATATATACATATATATATATATATATATATATATATATATATATATATATATATATATATATATATATATATATATATATATATATATATATATATATATATATATAGTAGTAGTACGTACGTACGTACGTACGTACGTACGTACCGTACCGTACCGTACGTACGTACGTACGTACGTACGTACGTACGTACGTACGTACGTACGTACGTACGTACGTAACG